GAGAGAGAGAGAGAGAGAGAGTTTGTGTGTGTGTGTGTGAGTTTGTGTGTGTATGTGTTTTTTGGGGAAGGGGGGGTGGGGGGCGTGGGGAGATCAATCTCAAGATGAGAATCACTGTTACAGTGTTGGAACAAGACAATAAAAAGGCGTTTTGTCGGCTTTTGTCTTGAACAACGTTTGCTGACAGAACGCCTTTTTTCCAAAGCCGCAGCGAAAAAAAAGGCGTTTTGCCAGCGAACTCTTAAAAAAAGGTGTTTTTTCAGCGTAACCATTTAAAAAAGGCGTTCTTCCGAAATTGGAATGTTAATTTATTCAAAAACTAGTCACACATTCACTTTGATTTTTTTCACACAAGTTGGGTTACAGGTCAGACTATCGATTTAGCAAATAACAAAAATTTCGCGCCAAAATAAAAAAAAGGCGTTTTGTCAGCTGACGGCAGCATAGTGCTTGATGAAGCCCATTTGGGACACTTGATGTTAAAAACCATCAGGAAACGACAAATGCAGTTTTTGGGACACCTGAATAAACATAAGGGTCTTGAACATCTAGCTCTCACTGGCAAAATTGAAGGCAAACGAGGCAGGGCTAGGCCCAGAACAACATACTTAGGGAACCTAAACAAACGGGTAACACGGAAAGATCAGGGAAAGGTAGCTTTTTTTAGAGCATCCGAACAAAGGAATGAACGCTGTGTGAGCGCGGATTTAGAGCGCGTGAACCAAATGCTCTAATCACGTGGTTTCAAATTCGGGATCTTCTCATTTCACTTTCTGCATTTATTTTTCTTAAGTTTTGGGATTCACTTCTGCATACTTCGCACGTCCCGTTTTTTTGTCTTAGAAACTGGTTACGTTTTGAATCTCTTTGGCTTGATAATGTCTACAAAGGGAGGTGGGGGTGAGCGGGTGAAAAACCATTTAGTCAACGACTGAAAAGGGTGCAGAGAAAGTTGAGTGTGAGGAGAGACCAGTGGCTGTGGGTAGTGAAAGGCTTACGGGCTTGAGCCCCTCACCCCCACCCCCTCCCCACCCCAACTCTATCCCTTAGTTAATGAAAGTTTCTTAAATGACGCAGTAAGCAATTGAAACCGTAATGATCGCACGCAATGAACACACAGTTATCAGCTTGGCGGCTTGCCCGTTTATCCAATCATTGTTGTCACCGCTTACAACTATAGTAACCTAACAGCCAATCAAAT